GGAGTCTGCCTGCCAATGCGGGGGACACAGATTCGAGCCCTGGCCCGGGAAGATCCCACATGCCGTGGAGCGACTAAGCCTGTGCACCACAACTACTGAGCCTGTGCTGTAGAGCCTGAGAGCCACAACTGCTCAGGCCCCCGTGCCTAGAGCCCGTGCTTTGCAATAAGAGAGGCCACAGCAATGAGAGGCCCACACACCGCAGTGAAGTGTGGCCCCCGCTCGCCGCAACTGGAGAAAACCCGCATGAAGCAACGAAGACCCAATGCAGCCAAAACAAAACAAAACAAAACAAAACAACCAATAGTCAAATGATTTAAATTTTAGATATTTTTAAAACTTGGCTTGCTACATTGTAAACTGTAAAAATCCTGGTTTTCCTGCTGCCTCAACACCCTCACAGACTGGGCATAAACATCCAACTAGAGTGACCAGGTGCACCAGTGTGGAGGCTGGCCCCTGCCACAAATTCCCCTTTTTGCCCTCCCCTGACTGTGACCAAGGAACATTCAAACCTTCCAGTGAAATCCTCCTTCACCCTTTGTCCCCTCTGAAACTCAATAAAGGCACTAGCCCACAGATTCATCCCCCTCCTTCTCTTTCCCTCCTCCCCACCTACTTGATTGAGCCCACTCCCTTGGTGACCTCTCCCCATATGTTCTCCTCTTGCCATGAGTGCCTGTGTCTCTAGGGCTTGTGAGTATAATAAAATTTGTTTTCCTGGGCCTCTCTCACATTCCGTTTTGTAGCTGCATCTGACAGAACATATGAAAGGTTACAAAACAACCAAAAATTTAAATAGTTTTGAAAATCATTTAGCATGATGAATACATACAATTTTATATGATATATTTTTCTAATCTTGTTTCCAAAATAATTGTGCACTTTAGGATTCAGTAAATTAAATGCTTTGTAAAATATATATCAATCATATTTCAGTAACTGAAATAAAGAGAACAATTTGTATTTAAGTGTGAGGATATGCCTCGGTAAACAAACTACAAAACTAGTGATAAAATGATCTAGCTGGGTGTGGGGTGGGTGAGTAGGAGAAGAACATATCTTATTACTCATTCATATCCCTTAGACGTTGATTAGTATGTTGTGTAAGAGATGAAGAAGATGAATTCACTCAGCCATAAAGCAGCAGATGTGATTTAAGAGAAATCTTAGTGACTGAATATAAATTCTCCAGAAGGATACTTCACTAGGTGAAGCAGGGTTACCTATCTGAGGTGAGACGGTGGAATGGAGCAGGGTAGGGGGTGTCAGAGTGAAGATTCACCTTAAATTTATACACCTAGGGCTTCCCTGGTGGCTCAGTGTTTGGGAGTCCGCCTGCTGATGCAGGGGACACGGGTTCGTGCCCTGGTCCGGGAGGATCCCACATGTCACAGAGTGGCCGGGCCCATAGGCCATGGCTGCTGGCCTGCACTTCCGGAGCCTGTGCTCTGCAACGGGAGAGGCCGCAGCGGTGAGAAGCCGCGTACCACACACACAAAAAATTATACACCTATAGATTTGTTAAAATTTGCACAATGAAATTTATAGTTTTACAATTAAATTTTTTAATTTTATAATTTGGAAAACACCACTTAAGATTGAAAGGAGAAAATTTGGGTATAACTAATGAAATAAAAATATGAAATAGCATTTATTTTTTTGCCCAAAGGCAAAGATTTGTGAAATATTAGGAAGAGACATCAAAAAATTAAATATAGGACTTCCCTGGTGGTGCAGTGGTTAAGAATCCGCCTACCAATGCAGGGGACACGGGTTTGATCCCTGCTCTGGTTAGATCCCACATGCCATGGAGCAGCTAAGCCCATGCACCACAACTACTGAGCCTGTGTGCCGCAACTACTGAGCTTGGTGCCGCAACTACTGAAGCCTGAGTGCCCAGAGCCCACGCTCCGCAGCAAGAGAAGCCACCGCAATGGGAAGCCCCGCAATGAGAAGCCCGCGCACCGCAACGAACAATAGCTCCCGCACACCACAACTAGAGAAAGCCCACGTGCAGCAACAAAGACCCAATGCATCCAATAAATTAATTAATTTAATTAAATATAAAACAGGTAAGAAGACATGGTATGCAAATTAATAACACTTGTTTAAGTAAAAAGCCAGGATCCTGTAGATCTGGCAGTTGCTGCGGTTATAAATGACAATACAAAATCATGATATTTCCCTGATCACCGGGTTTTGGGTAACAAAGGGGGGCTCTAAATTAAGAGACTCCTGTTCTCAGAGAGAATGATGTGGACCTGGCTATTAATCAAGTTCTCTAGTCAGAATTTTATTTTATTGTTTTTATTCTTATCTTTTTAGACCCATACACCCATTGTACCCAGCCCCCATCTCTGGCAACTTCTAACTGTTTTCTGTATATATGAGCTTGGGTTTGGGGTTTTTTTTCCTTTTTTTAGATTCCACATATGAGATTATACAGTATTTGCCATTATCTGTCTTATTTCACTTAGCATATAATATCCTCAGGTCCCATCCATGTTGTCACAAATGGTAAGATTCCATTCTTTTCTACAGTTGACTGATATTCATCTATCTGTCTATCTATCATCTATCTATCTATCACATCTTCTTTATCCATTCATTCACTAATGGACACTTAGGCTGTTTCCATATCTTGGCTGTTGTAAATAATTCTGCAATGCAATGAGTTTTTTCTTCTTCAGGTAAATACCTATAAGTGGGATTGCTGGATCATAAGGTAGTTCTATTTTTAATTTTTAAAGGAGTCTTCATACTGATTTCCATAGTGGGTACACAAATTTACATTCCCATCAACAGTGCACAAGGATTCCCTTTTCTCTTAATCTTGTTTTTATTAACTTGATCCTTCCAAGTGTTGTGCCTATAGTTGCCCAGATAATGTGATTTGCAAATAGATATAAACACTGAGTAGTGGAAATTCGATTTCATCTGTAGTTGATGAAAGTACAGTGGAAAAGGACATGGTACTCCACACTTCCACAGTCCAGTGGGAAAGCACAGGGATTAGAAACACACAGATAAACATAAAGTTGTAACTTTGATAAACACAGTGAAGCAGAAACAAATGTTTTTCACAAGGCAGAGTAACTTTGGAGAAAAAGAAAAAAAACCCGGAAATGTGATGAGGGAAAGTTTCCTAAGGTTGTATCACTGGACTGATGCAGTGGTGTAGCTGGGGTGGCCAGACAGATATCTGCGCCTGATGAAGTTTTCAGCACAGAGAAGTAATTTTTATGGATTCTTCCCTATTGCTTCTATTATGTTTACTTTTCTATACTTCTTCTAATACTTTATTTTCTTACAGTAATTTAAAGAACATACTTCATACAGATCATTGCCTTTATTTAATTATATTGAACCAGTGTCATGTTTTTCATAAATCAAGTGACTGAGTACATGCCACTCTGTATTGGGACACTACTCTGTACTATTGCTCTATTTGTCTATCTTTGTGCCACTATGACACCATCTTAACTATGATAATCTTAATAAAATTTTACTATCTGATTGTGTAAATCCTCCAAATTTATTCTTCAGAAATGCTCTATTTTTTGGCCTTTTGCTATCCATGTCATTTTAGAATTGTTTTGTCAATTTTCACACACACACACACACACACACACACACACACATCTTCTGGATTTTCCTTGAAAATGCATTGACTATATAATCAATCTGGAGAGAACTGCTATTTCCTACAATATTGAGTCTTTCTATCAATTCGTAAACATAGCTTTTCTTTCCATACATTTATTAATATCTTGTAGTTATCTGTATAGAGGTCTTGTATATCTTTCATTAGATTTGTTTATTGGTATTTAATGTTAGTAATAGTGATAAAAAGTTTTACTTTAATTTTATCTGCTTCTCTTATGATAGAAATTGATTTTAGAATATCGACCTGTATAAAGCACCTTGCTAAATTCATCTAGTCTAATATTTGTAGAATATTTTGGATTATTATTCAAACAAAATCAGGCCATCTATAAATAATAGCTGATGCATTTTCTATATTTTTAATTAAAAAATTTTTTTTTGCTGTGCGATGCGACATGCGGGATCTTAGTTCCCTGACCAGGGATAGAACCCATGCCCCCTGCAGTGGGAGAATGGAGTCCTAACCACTGGACTGCCAGGGGATTCCCTGATACATTTTCTGATCTTATTTCACTGGCTGGGTACCAGTCATATGTTGCATAGAGCTGATAATGGGCTTCCATCTCTCAATCTCAAGGATAAAACTTTTAAGAATAATTTTTGTTGTAGCTATTTTGTAAATACTTTATCACAATGAAAGTTTCCTTCTATTCCTAGCTGAATAAGTGTCTTTCTCAGGATTGAGTTCTGACTTTTATGGAGCATATTTGATGTATCTGCTAATATGATAGCATGTTCTTTCAAGTCTATTAATGTGGTAAATTATATTGCTTTTTGAAATTTAAACCAAAATGCATGTAGAATATAAATACATGATATATTTTCTTTATAAATGACTGGGTTTGATTTGCAGATATTTAGATTAGGATTTTTGAATCTATGCACATATAAATTATTGGCCAGTAGTGTTCCTTAATGTACTTGTAAAGTTTTATCAGGAAGGTTCATTAATTAAAATAGGAGTGTCTCTTCTTTCTCTATGCTCTGTGAGAATTTGTGTATTATTAGAATTATTACTTTCTTAAATTTCTCAAAATTTACCTATGAAGTAATCTGAGCCTGAAATGTATTCTTTCTTTTTGTTTTTAAATTATGTTTGTGAAATAATTAGATATAAATCTCTTCTGTTTCTATCTTATGATCTTTAAGCCTCCACCACTATCAACATATCATGCAACATTTGATTGTTACCTAACTAGTGGAATAAGGCCAGAAAACATATCAAATATTATTTATAAAAGTCCTGATGTTGTTTTGAAACAGATCTCCAGAAACACAGGACTTCAAGGACTAAATCCTGGAAGTTGAATCTCTGAGAAACATTGCCAAGAATGGATTACAACTTCAGAACCTCATTTCTATGTGAACCATCCAGAGATGACCCAAGATCAGCAAATACAGATTTTAAGCCCAGCCAAGGACCTGCTCTCCAAAAGGCAGAAGATATCTCTGAGTTTCAGAACACTAAGCACAGCTTATTTCAAAACACCAGGGCTTCCCTGGTGGCGCAGTTGTTGAGAGTCCGCTTGCTGATGCAGGGGACACGGGTTCGTGCCCCGGTCTGGGAAGATCCCACATGCCGCGGAGTGGCCGGACCCGTGAGCCATGGCCGCTGAACCTGCGCATCCGGAGCCTGTGCTCCACAGCTGGAGAGGCCACAACAGTGAGAGGCCCACGTACCGCAAAAAAAAAAAAACAAACCTAAAAACACTAATAACTCTGTGCAAGGAAGGAACTGCAAAGACTCTATAAGTCATTTCATTTATGGCTGCAGCCAGAAAAACACAAAAAGGATGAAACTATTTTTCAGGTAGCTCTGGAACAGTTTATGATCAATAAGCACTGCAGTGAAAGGTCTACTTTGAAAGAGAAATGGGAATCAAATGGTGGAAACCTGGAGAAATTCATGGAAGACCTGAGTGACGATGGCACGAGGCCACCTGGCTTAGTGAGTAGAGGATTCTGACCTCTGGGGAGACTGGCAGAAAGGAGTAAGGAGTAAATACATTTAGTTGTAGATAGATGCCTGGAAGAAGAGAAAGAAGGGTTATTGTAGATCCAGTTATTAGTCAGACCATTCTTCCTCACCAAGGCAAATATTTACTGTCCTAAGTAAGCAAGAATAAAAATTTTATAAGCATTTATTCAGTGGGACATATAGGAACCAACGTATTAATTAGTGTAATTGATTTTCATTGGTGAAGTGGTAGGAGGACCCACTGAGAAATTGTCAATTGGGCAGAAACCTCAGGATGAGAAAGGCCTTGACAAGAGCTGGGTTTTCCCTCAGAAAGTCTTAGCATTCATCTTTTTTTCGTTATGGAAGACACACTAAAGAAGAAATTACCATGAAATTTAATACAAGCAGAAATAGGGCAGAACAAAGGTGTGGGAGCCCACAGTACAAAGATATTGGGAAAGCCTGACTGAGGAGGGTTTTCCACAACAGGTTTTGTTACATAGTAGATCCATATGTGTGGAATCATGCTTTTTATTTATTTATTTTTTAAGAAAATGTCCATGTCCACATGCAGGGAGAGGAAGCCCTCTTTTTTGAGATTATGCCTTTAAAAGAAGTCATTGTTCATCTAACAAAACAGTTGTCAATAGGAACCACAGCAGGGGTAAACATGGCGACACCCTCCTGGACTGTGCAAAATACTTCCCTGGAAACAGGACAAAGTGAGTGGGGAAACCCCAGGTACCAGAGTGATGACCTGTGTGGACTCTTTCTTGGGTATAACTTCACTGAGTCACGTTTTCCCCCCCTGCAGGAAATGAAGATAAAGAAAATGGTGGCAACATTTCTTTGAAAACTTGGCAAGTAAATGACAGTATTACTAGTCCAAGCAATCAAGCAACTTCCCTACTCATTATCCAAGAAGAGAACAGTCTGAGGCCTGAAGAAGGAGGTGTTTGTTTGGAGAATCCTCTCAGCTCCAGAAGAGCTGGTCCAGGCCCTTTCAGGTCCCAGGAAGGGTCCCTGAAAGGACCCTCTTATCAAGATGTCCTTATGGAGGTGGAACCAGTGTTTCTTTCCAAGCCAGAACAGGTCACCCTTGAGCCTGTTTCTACCCACCAGAGCACCGAGGGGAACTCTGCACATGGGGAACACCAAGAAAGAGTCCATGGAGCCCCAAAAGTATACAAATGTGAGACGTGCCCCAAGATCTTTAGGTATTCCTCTCGGTTAAAAGTTCACCAGAAAAGACACAATAATGAGAGAACATATATTTGTGCCAAGTGTGGCAAAGGCTTCTTCCAGGCATCAGACCTACATGTGCATCAGAGGATTCATGCAGGAGAGAAGGCTTTCATGTGCAGCGTGTGTGAAATGGCCTTCAGCCACAAAACCAACCTTCGGGCTCACGAGAGAATCCACACGGGAGAGAAGCCCTATGTATGTTCCCTTTGCCAGAGACGCTTCCGCCAGTCCTCCACCTACCACCGCTGCCTTAGGTTTCACCAGAAAATTGCCCTCAAAATTGTTCCCTCTTGGGACTTCTCTGGTGACGCAGTGGTTGAGAGTCCGCCTGGCGATGCAGGGGACACGGGTTCGTGCTCCTGTCCGGGAAGATCCCACACGCCGCGGAGCGGCTAGGCCCATGAGCCATAGCCGCCGAGCCTGCGCGTCCGGAGCCTGTGCTCTGCAACGGGAGAGGCCACAACAGTGAGGCCCACGTACCGCAAAAAAAAAAAAAAAAAAAGGGTTCCCTCCACACTAAAAGCTTCCTTGGCTATGGCCCCAATGTGATGTATATAAATATGTATGTGAATATGTGTATTTTCATAGCATTGTACTTCCCCATTTAGAACATACTTTATAATTTCCTTCTGTTATTTCCCATTGTATCACCCCATTAAAATGTAGGTTTAAGGAAGGCAGGTAGTTTCTCAGTTTTGTTCACAAACCCATCTCAGGTGCTCTGAAATAGCTGACACATTTCAAACAACTAATAAATATCTGTTGAATACGTGAATTTATCTTTAAAGTTGGTGTTATTTTTAAAATTTAGGAATGTGCCCCCCATGAGAGGACGAGTCCAGTACCCGAACACACAGCTACCAGCTCAGTGGTCCAGTGAGGCTTTTGTTGCCTGCTACCCTGTTCTCTGTCCACACCCTTAATCCCTTCTGGGTTACAGGAATGTGAGGAGCAGAGGTGAGAACCAGGAAATAGCCCTAGCCTACGAAAGGGAACATTTATATTTAATAATCATAATCATTTCTTTAATCCACTGGAAATAATAACAGTTAAATTGGACCAAATTAAGACCTCTATGAGCTGGGGAAAACCTTTTCTAAGTGACTTTATTAATTACTAAACTATCAGTTCCATGTCTTCTGGAACACTCGGTATTGTGACTCGTCTGACTTTAATATCCAGACCCCGGGTACAACTTATTAAATTAAGTGGGCAAAATATAGGGGCTGGCTCCACCCCCCCGTTTAGCTAATATGCTTGTATTTTGCAAGTTAAATGCATGTTTGACACTTCTCCATGACGCACTAGCTGCGTGTTGGACTCTACTTGGCATCACAGAGGTACTTGAGTCATAAATAGATAAAATGATCTCAGGCATCCCACCAACTCTGGATCTCAATGTTTGTATCCAAAGTTCGGGGATACAAAAGCTTTTCAACGAACATCTTTGTACTTAAGCCTTTATATACTTGGTAAGGAGAGTCAAATCCCTTGGAGGAAAAGGTTGGAACAAAGAACGATGGGACTTGCAACCAGCCACGCGTGTTGCTCTCTGGGAACCTCCTGCCACAGCGAGCTCTGCGCACGCGCAAATGAGGTGTCTTCTCCAGGGAGATTTCAGAGGCAACAGCACGTTACCTATTGCAGTAATACAATTAAAAATGAACATTTAAAGATTAAAAAGGAATAATAAAACCTGCCTCCTCACCTCTAAAATATTTGCTTCAGCTTGTCAGCAACTGTGAAGCTGGGGAGATCCCCGTCAGGTTGAGGACATCAGATCTCATTGTCCTCCCAGGCCATCGACCCTCCCCTGAAGCCCCTCAATAAAATGGTTTGATCCAAAACATTTTAAAAATAAATAAGTAAAATATTTCCTACAGTATCATCTTCCCTAATGAGTCTTACTATTAATACCCTGTTTCATGTTGCAACCCTTCCTTGACAACTAAACATCTGGACTCTGTTTTTTTCCATTTTCTATGCAATATAACATCCTCTGAAAAGTAAAAAATTTAATAACTTTTTTTTTTTTTGTGGTATGCAGGCCTCTCCCTGTTGTGGCCTCTCCCTGTTGTGGAGCACAGGCTCCGGACGCGCAGGCTCAGTAGCCATGGCTCACGGGCCTAGCCGCTCCGCGGCATGTGAGATCTTCCCGAACCGGGGCACGAACCCGTGTCTCCTGCATCGGCAGGCAGATTCTCAACCACTGCACCACAAGAAAAGTCCCCCTATAAAGTCTTAATTAAATCTCCAAATTTTTTAATACTTTCTGTTATTATTTAACAGACTTCGCCACTTCTCCCAGCTAATTCATCAGTTTTTTTTATACATATGCTCCTATAAACTTATCCTATAAAAATGCCTGCAAACGTAGATATTTTGCAACCTTATTGTTCTATCCCATATTTGTTTTTTGCCAGTAGAAGTCTGTAGTCACTACTAAATTTTAAATATATATTAAGGATAGTTCTTTTCATTAAATTGATTTTAAAATTTTTGTATAATTTTGATGTTTGTAGAAACTTCAGAACTGTTAATATTTTCACCGGAATTTTATTAGATAACACACTTATTTTGTGAACTGAATTATTAATATTGGGAAAATTTCCAACTAGGAAAAGTTTCTCTGCTGCTATTTAATGTGAATTCTATGATGTGCATACAGTTTTTGATTTTCACTCAATAACTCCCTCACATTACTTAGGTTTTAATGTTGTTTTCCAAAATTTAATTTCTTTCACTGGTGTATTTTTCCTATACATTTAAGGAGATTGCTGTGTATAAACGAAAATATTGGGTATCTTGATTTGTGACTATTCTAAATTATATCATTTATCCTAACAACAATTCCTGTGTTTCTAGGGTGTACCTCAAGTGTATAAGTGTTTCATTTCTCAATCATAGAAATTAAATACATCTCACAGTTATTATTCCTGCTATATTGAAATGATCATGACAGGAAGATGGTAATTCAACAAGGTACTGTCCAGCATGGTGGTTTTGTGTCTTTGCAATATGAGAACGTCCTCATATTTCATTGTCCAGTACTGTAACATCAGTGTATCTGGAAGAAGGAATTGTTCTCATGAAGAAGTCTCCCCTAAAATGTTGTTGAACTTATTTTTTATTATTTAATTTTGCACCTCTGTATCTTTTCCCAGGATGTAATATATTTTAAGTGACATACACGGGGGTCATCCAAAACAGATCAATTTTGTGTGCCAGCACAGAGATTTCTTAATTGTGAAATACAGTCTGTATAGATATTCCTGGAGAAATGATTGATACTTTCCCATCACAGTTTTCTGAATAATGAGTTGTTTCCTTAACATCTCCCAACATTAACCTTTGAAGTTATTTTTATGTCGTTTATATGCATTTGGTTTACATGAGCCAATCCTTTGGAGTTACTGCTGTACCAAAATTGTGCAGGAGCAGCTTCTTCAGGTGGAATCCTGTGACCTCAGTGTTCTGTTTCCTTGTTTCCCTTAAATGACAAGTAACTTCAGGATTTTCTTGGAAAGCTCCTGCTCTAGACTTGGAATAAGCTTTTTTCCCCTCTCAAGACACTCTGCTTACTTATATTGGGAGATGAATTCAGAGTCCGTAATTGGGTAGATTTAGGCATTGTTATAGGGTTGTTCATAATTCCTAGATTTTCTTTCAATTTAAAGAGTAAGGAAATGCATATATTTTTAAAATCAAATACTATATGAGTTAATATTGATTGTTCCTATAAAATGTAGGTTTTAGTTTTATTCAGATTCTTTGGCTTTGTGTTTGAATTTATTTATTCTTACATAGAAAGTTTTGTTTTCCATTTATATTAATATATTCGTTTCCCAAATACCATACCAATACTTTTAGTAAAATACATAGACAAAGTTTAAGATCTTTGCAGGTAGTTTTACCTTGATGTATCTCCCTAGGGATATAAAGTCAAAATCCTGTGTTTTCTTTTTTGTCTTTTTTTTTTTTTTTTTTTTTTTTTGGCCGCACCTCACAGCTTGTGGGATCTCATTTCCCTGACCAGGGACTGAACCCAGGCCACGGCAGTGAAAGCACTGAATCTGAACTACTAGACCACCAGGGAACTCCCTGAAATCCTGTGTTTTCAATTCATTTGAAGTATTTCCTTCTCATATAGAAACAAGCAATGGGATAGTCAGTTATTTAACTTTTAGATTTTATACTTTAAAAACATAAATTTGCTTTATTATTGTTTAATAGTTATGTGATATTTGCACATTTGTACAAATAAAACACTATAACAAGATTTTTTTTTCTTAAAAAGTCTAGCTTTAAATCCTGCCCAATTCTATATATGTTCTCTGCCTACATTTTCATTCCTCAATATACATAGAAACACTTAGCATACTCTACAGAGTTCTCTACCTGGATTTTCACTTCAGGAGACATATAGTTCATAACTGCAGATCAGAGTGTAGAGGTCCTTCTCACTCAATTTATAGGTGTAGAAAACTCTATTGTGCAACTGGGCCATAATACAGACACCTGACTCACATAGATAGACATTTAAAGTTTTTTCAAGTTAGAATGTCCATTAATAGCCTCTGCACCCAAAAGCACACATACTTAATGCCCATTTAAGTTGACAGAATATGTGTAAGATTTAGCATTGGAGGTTACTGGGCGTGGTGGTGATGGTAACTTTTTTTTTTTAAAGACTATTTTTTAGAAGAGTTTTGGGTTCACAACAAAATTGAGAGGAAGGAACAGAGATTTCCTATATATCTCCTACCTCCACACATGCGTAGCCTCCCCCATTATCAGCAACACTCATGAGAATGGTACATTTTTTTTTACCAAAGATGTAACTATTTTGATACAGCATAATCATTCGATATCCATAGTTTAAGGTTCACTCTTAGTGTTGTAAATTCTATGGGTGTGGACAAATATATAAGGACTACATTCATCATTATAATATCATACAGCATATTTTCACTGCCATAAAAATCCTGTATGCTTTGTCTATTCGTCCCTCCCCACTCCTCTCCACTCCTGGCAACCACTGCTCTTTTTATTGTCTCCATAGTTTTGCCTTTTCCAGAATTTCAAATAGTTAGAATCACACAGTATGTAGTCTTTTTAGATTGCCTACTTTCACTTAGTAATATGCATTTAAGTTTCGTCTATGTTTTTTCATGGCTTGATAGTTCAATTCACTTTAGTGCTGAAAAACATTCCACTACCTGGATGTACCAAAGTTTATTTATCGCATATATGTTTTTGTTCGTTGAACTGTCATTCATCGGGCTTCAAATAAAATCAATATCCCATATATATTGATGTGAAGGCTCCTGCCAAGTTGGGAATGGGGATTATCTTCCGCTCTCAAGTGGGGGTGGGATTCCTTGGGAACTTCTCCCTCCTTTGTCTTTATAACTTCACACTTCTCACTGGACATCAGATAGGACCCACAGACTTGATTCTTAATCAACTCGCCTTAGCCAACTCCCTGGTGCTTTTCTCCAGAGGGATCACTCATACAATGGCAGCTTTGGATCAAAATATTTCCTGGGGCTTCCCTGGTGGCGCAGTGGTTGAGAGTCCAACTGCCGATGCAGGGGACGCGGGTTCGTGTCCCGGTCCGGGAAGATCCCACATGACGCGGAGAGGCTGGGCCCGTGGGCCATGGCCGCTGAGCCTGCGCGTCCGGAGCCAGTGCTCCGCGACGGGAGAGGCCGCAGCAGTGAGAGGCCCGCGTACCGCAAAACAAACAAACAAAAAAAAAAACCACAAAATATTTCCTGAATGAGTCTGAGTGTAAACATCTCTTTTATTTCCACAGAGTGGCCAGAGGGGTTTCCCTCACCACTACTCCCCTCTTCAGTGTCTTCCAGACCATAAAGCTTTGCCCCAATTTCTCTAGGTGGGTGGAGCTCAGAATGAGATCCCCAAGGTACATTGGTTTCTGCTGT